CTTCAGGTTCAAATTCATCCACTTCCCTGTCTGTTTCTTCTTTTCCTCTCTTACTCAGTGTTGGAACTTACTCCTTGCCACTACCTCAGCCAACTGCTAGATCATCTCTGGGTCTTCAGGAGGTGTAAATCATAGAATCACTGACTCATAGAAAGATTTCATTTAGAAGACCTCCGGAAGTATCTAACCCAGCCTCCTGCTCAAACCAGACTTAAGTTTAAAGCTGTGTCAGGTTGCTCAAGGCTTTGTCCAGTCCAATTTGGAAAATCTCAAAGGATGGAGACTCCAAATCCTCTCTCAACACCTATTCCAGTGCTACAATAAGCAGGAATTTCCCTTGCCACAGGTCATGATTGCTGCCTTTTGTCCTGTCACTGTGCACTTCAGAGAAGAGTTTGACTTTGTTTCCTTGGCAAGCTCTCTTTAGATAGTTGAAGATAGCTATTGGATTGGGGGAATCTCTTCTACAAGCTGAACAGAACCAGCCACCTCAGTTTTTCTTCTTGCTTCACGTACTCTGACCCCTAACCATTGTGGGAGGATAAGAGTAGGTCATGCAATAATGGTCATCTAACTGGGAAGCTCTTGTAAGACATATAAAGATAGGATTGGCCTGTGGCTTTTGGTGCTTGGGAGGAGTAGGTGAGGGACAAAAAAATACATTCAATTATCCCTTGAACCCTTGGTTCATCTGCGGCATTTAGTCACACAAAATTCAGGACAATCACTGCAGTATCTGAATTCTACGGTATTTTCAGACAAACAAGACAGAGTAGGTAAGAAGGAGTTAGACATACACATAAAATGAAGGCACATGCTAGTTGTTAGCTGATTGAGATAAAAAGGTGGTGATGAGGACACAGCCCAGGGAAAAAGGAAATCTGGGAATGTGGTGACTGTTTCAGAAAGACACTAGTAAAAGGGGAGACATTTGCAGCACTGGATTGAAGACTGAGGAAGTAAAATGAAAGTAGAGATGAATATACACACACAGAACTAGATAGAACTGAAGAAACTCAATATGGAAACCCCTTGAAGGTCCATATTGGGACTGCTACTATTAATAATGTAGGTAGTGGGATTGAGTTCACCCTCAGCAAGTTTGCAGATGACACAAAGCTGAGTGGTGCAGTTGATATACTTGAGGGAAAGGATGCCATCCAGAGGGACCTTGACAGGCTTTAGAAGTGGACCAGTGTGAACCTCATGAAGTTCAACAAGGCCAAGTGCAAGGCCCTTCACTTGAATCAGGACAATCTCCAATGTCAGTACAGACTGGGTGATGAATTAATTGAGAGCAGCCCTGCACAGAAGGACTTGGGGATAGTGCTGGGTGGAAAATTAGGATGTGAGCCAGCAATGCGTACTTACAGGTCAGAAAGCCAATTGAATCTTGAGCTGCATGGCCAAAACATTGAGAAAGGTGAAACTTTCCCTCTACTCCGCTCTGGTGAGACCCCATCTAGAGTACTGTTTCTAGCTCTGGGGTCCCCAGTACAAGAAAGACATGGACATGTTGGAGTGGGTCCAGAGGAGGCCACAAAAATTATCAAAGTGATGGAACACCTCTCCTATGAAGAAAGGCTGAGAGTTCGGGCTGTTCAGCCTGGAGAAGAGAAGGCTCCAGGGAGGCCTTATTGCATCCTTTCAGTAAATAAAGGGGGTGTATAAGAAAGGTGGAGAAAGACTTTTTACCTAGGTCTGTAGTGATATGACAAGGGGCAATGGTTTTAAACTGAAAGAAGGTAGGTTTAGATTGAATATAAGGAAGAAATTTTCTGGCCCAGTTTGCCCAGAGAAGCTGTGGCTGCTCCTCCCTGGAAGTGTTCAAGGCCAGGCTGGATGAGGCTTTGAACAACCTGGTCTAGTGGAAGGTGTCCCTGCTGATGGCAGGGGGGGTTGGGACTGGATGAGCTTTAAGGTCCCTTCCAACACAAACCATTCTGTGTTTGTAAACTGAGGTATAGACATATTTTATTGGAACACACAGTTTTCATAAAATCCAAATGCTTTCTAAAATTGGACAGATTTGATCAGGTCACTGACTTAGAGAACTGGGGAAAAATCTGGAAAAGCTGAATTTTTTTTCCTATTTCTTGACCTACAGAGATCAGTATTTTATTTTTCTGAAATGATTTGGGTTTTTTTAAATAAGATTGTAACACAGTTTAGAGTCCAAGTCAAAATAGAGATGAACAGCTTTAGCCACCCTAAAGCAAGTTTATTTTCTGAAATTTATCTTCCTTCCTGGAACATTTGAGTGCTGTTTTTTTATTATTTTGCTTCTTTGAGAATTAAGCTGATTTTCGGAAACTCATAGTCATTCATGAAACGGAACTTTTTATTTCTTTGCATCTTTTTCTTTAGGAAGGTTAGAAAGCCACATCCAAACACCTACATACCCATGCTTTCTTTAAAAAATCATATAAAACAAGCAGAAAGTCAGACATCTTAAGGAGCAGTTTACATCCATAGGCAGGCTAAATAGAATTAATGCTCATGTTCCCATGGGGACAGGGATTGGTATTATGATTGCTATTTTGTCTAGCTATTTCACAGGCTATATAAAAAGAATAAAGGATTTGTGTGTCCTTCCATCCACTGTACTGCCATCTGTGAGTGCCATCACAGAGGTCAAGCACAGTTTGACTTTTAGAGGTTAAATGGAATTCACTGCACATATAAACACTTCACTAGAGATAATATAATTCTATTTTACACTCCCAAAGGGGAATTAGAGAGACAAGGTTTATACAAATTATTATTGAGAGTTCAATGTCAAATTTGAACAAGATAAATTAGGAACTGATTCAGTGACTACCAGCAACTTGTCCCTCATGATTTTAAAAGGGCACAAAACCCAGAGAGATTAATGGATTTCTCTATAAGGTATCAAAGGTTATTGCAAACATGGGCTTTTATGCTATAACTCAGATTTTAACAAATATAAGGGCAAATCTAAAACTGAAAGGTACTTTGTAATTCCTTTCCTAGTAAAAGCACAGAACTGGTCATAGGAGAAGACATGCAGATCTGGATGTTTTTGTAAATAAAATAATTTCAGACATTTTTTATGTGTAAAATGTTTGTATTCTTTTTTGATAGCATGCATTGCCAAAGATGATAGATTTTTCATGGAGAAAAGCAGTTGCTTCTTAACACAGACCAGTATTGGCATAGTTTGACTTTTAACGTTATTCACAAAGTTTGAATATATTTTGTTTTAAAATACCTGAGTAAATGTAGCACCATGCTAATTCATTCCCTTCAGCAGATATTTTTGGGGAGGAGGCAATATTCTGAAGTAGGAGGAATAAATTAAATAGAATTATTAATAAATTATCTAACTTTGTAGTTAGGACCTCTCTTTTCCACATTTCAACAGTTTTCAAAGCAATCTTTTCTACATGAGCTAGTTTAACTCAAATACAGACTGCAGTTTAAATATTAAGATTTCATTGATCATGATCTTGCCCACACAGGTTTGATTTACTCTTTTATCAATGGTTACATGCTCTGTAGAGTCTTTGCTGCCTTCAGTAGATTTTGTTTTTATTCATATAGCTGAGATCTCTAACACATAATTACTCTTCCTCTTGCTTTTCTTCTTTTTTTCTTAGATTGAATGCTCAAGTATATCTGACTACTCAGAAAAAATTATCAAGGCCAACCACTTGGACAACAGTAAGGGATATATTAAAATATTTTCTTCAGGAGAAAGAGAAGATAACTGCTTTGCTTTGTCCGATTAATTTATGTTGTGTAGTTTATATGTAAATGGTAGTTTTGCATAACTGACTTATGTAAATACAAAACTAAACACCACAATTTCTCACGGGAGAAGTTACTTCTACATTTCCTTCTAGGCTTAGACAGTAGAAGCAAATAGGACTCATTGGCAGGCAGTTTGATTTAGCAAAGCAGACAAAAGGCCCCATATTAGAGCTGAACTGTTCAAATTAATTCTGCCAGTTGAATTCCACCTATCTCTTAAATAGAATTTGTACACACACACTGAGATTGAAATAAGATTCAAAGCAAAAAGTATTCCATATCAATACAGATTTTTCATAGAGATTCTTCTGACTTACAACTTAAAAAAAAATTTTATTAAAAAAACATATTGAAACATACACACATAAATGAAAATGTTCAATTCTCAGAATAACTGTCATAGAAAACTTTTTTTTTTCCTCAAAACACTTCAATTAAAAAAAAAACCAAAACAAACCATTAACCTACTGGAAACTCTAAACAAAAAATAATCTCCAACAAGCTCTATTTCATGTCTTCAGTCCTCCAAATCACTGCACACAATATATCTTTGTAACAACCTAAAATTTGGGCTTTTTTTTAACTGAGTCTGTGAGAGAGTTCTTCTTTAGAAGTGTTCTTTAGGAGGAACTTGTAGAACGGGTCTTAGCTGGCTGGACTGTATCATTGTCCAGAGGAGGCCACAAAATTGATAAAGTGTTTAGAGGAGAAGCCGTATGAGGAGAGGCTGAAGTCACTTGGTTCATCCTGGAGAAGAGGAGACTGAGAGGAGATCTCATGGTGGTCTAGAACTTCCTCCCAAGGGGAAGAGGAGGGGCAGATGCTGATCTCTTCTCTCTGGCCACCAACGAATGCCAGGAGCAGAGGAAATGGCAGGAAGATGTGGCGGGGGGGGTGAGGTTGGCCATGAGGAAAAGGTTCTTGAGGCAGAGGGTGGTGGAGCACTGGAACAGGCTCCCCAGGGAGGTGCTCATGGCACCAAGCCTGACAAGATTCCAGAAGCATTTGGCCACCATGTGCCCTCAGACACATGGTCTGAATCTTGGGCTTGTCCTGTGCAGGGACAGGAGTTCGACTGGATGATCCCTGTGAGTCCCTTCCAACTCACAACATCCTAGGATTCTATGATTTGCCCCAACTTGTAGCTGCGTCTGTGCTGGAGCTATGCTAGCACATGCACAGAAACAGATTTCTGTTCTGGTTTAAATCTGCTCTAATTTTTAGTGCTGTCACTAGCAGCTTCTGACTATCACAGAGCTGTTTGGGAGGAGAATTTATTGTACAGCATGCAGTGCTGTGAAAGAAACAGCAGTGACATGGGATATAAAAGGCCAGCCAGTGTATGCAACTTTGGGTTCAGAAAGAGAAGAAAGCCAAGGACCAGAAAATACTCATCTCCACAGTTGGGATAAGGCATTAAAACAATGAGGTGTTGACCTCAGTTGGGTTATCCCGCACCTTTGGATATGCCTACCTGTGTATATTCCCAGAACAGCCTTTCATCAAACAGCTACACAGAGAGCACAGCACAAACCAATTCACGTTTGGATTTCCAGAAACAGGACATGTGTGAAGGGACCATTGTCAGAATAAATAAGGATCCAGTGTGCTCCAGAGGTTGCAGAAGGTATTTATCTTGGCTTCTTCCTACAGTTTCTCCAAGGAGCAAGTCCTTGGAAAAACAGAAAGAAGCAGAGATCTCTCCCCTTTGTCAG